AAAATACAAAATGGAAGAAAGAGTTAAAGCTGAACACAATCTTGCTACTCAAGCTGTGTATGAACATTTTTTTATATATATTGATTTGCTTCTTTTCCAATTTGCATTTACTTGTACTTTTACTTTCAATACTTAAGTACGTTTAAGTACAATAAATATCACATACTTTAAGACTTTTACTCAAGTAATATTCTAAACGGTGACTTCAACTTCTACCAAAGTCATTTTCTGGTAAGATATCGGAGTATGGCTTTCAGGTACTTTATACACCACTGATCACTCTGATACTCTGAGGTGAAAACTTGCTTCCATTTTCACTTCTAAAAGAACATTATGAAAGTAGATTTGTAATAGCATCTCAAAACATTTGTGAACATTGGACCATCTAGTTATATATGGCTATTATAAGCAATGCAAAGTTATTTAAATTGCAAAGATTGATGGGAATGTTGTCTCCTCCACAGGGAAGGCCGGGAAAAGATGGAATTCCAGGCTATACGGTATGTGTGTACAGTATATGCATGACAGGGCTTTGGCTTCAGCTGTATTTTATGTCTAAGATGATAATGTTAGCAGAAAATTAATGCTTTTACTTTAATACCTGCAGCATCTAATAACTTGTGCCAGCGAGTAGTGGATCATAAGTTGTTTTATATTATATTATTTATATTATATTATTTCAGCTTTATTTCAATTTAGAGTTATTATAGTTAACTAAAGTTAACTATAGTTTTAGTAATTTTAGAACTAATTTTATTTGCTATCTGACATGGTGACATTTCTAATTTTAACATTCTTTCTCATTTTCATTTGTATATGTTTTTAGTATTTTAATCTAATTTAGGAATTCAATTTCATAAGTTGTTTTATATTATATTATTTATATTATATTATTTCAGATTTATTTCAATTTAGTTATTGTAGTTAACTACAGTTTTAGTAATTTTACCAGTAATTTTATTTGTTATCAAATATTAATATGTAATATTTCTAATATTTTTTCTAATATATTCTTAATTCCTCATTTTCATTTAATCTAATTTAGAAATTAAATTCCATATGATGCTTTATATATTATATTATTTCAGATGTTTCAATTCAGAGTTATTATGGTTAAACTAAAACTAAACCTCATTTAAACAATTACTTTACTTAAAAAGTTTTATTTTTAGTCAACTTGCATTTTTTTGTTTAGATAGATTGATAGATAGATAGATAGATAGATAGATAGATAGATAGATAGATAGATAGATAGATAGATAGATAGATAGATAAATAGGTGTGAACCTCGATAGATAGATAGATGGATGCTTATTTTTTTACACTTATGTTTCTTTTCATTATTGGTACAATATGATCCAGTCTGTTGGCAAACTCAGATAGTTGTGTTTGCTGTATAATTAATTTGAATGAACTGCTCTGTAGTTTTGGCGGTATTTGTTGAAGTGTTCTGGATCTGTTTTCACGCACACTGAGTTTTAGTAATTTTACCAGTAATTTTATTTGTTATCAAATATTAATATGTAATATTTCTAATATTTTTTCTAATATATTCTTAATTCCTCATTTTCATTTAATCTAATTTAGAAATTAAATTCCATATGATGCTTTATATATTATATTATTTCAGATGTTTCAATTCAGAGTTATTATGGTTAAACTAAAACTAAACCTCATTTAAACAATTACTTTACTTAAAAAGTTTTATTTTTAGTTAACTTGCATTTTTTTGTTTAGATAGATTGATAGATAGATAGATAGATAGATAAATAGGTGTGTGTGTTTGTGTGTGTTTATATATTTTTTTAAACCGTGATTTTTCAACGAGCGGTTCACTTTTCCCCCCCTCTTTATACTGTCTCTGGATAAGTCAAGGTTCAAATGGGTGTGGATCATCTGGAGGAAGTTCACTGGCCTTATTTTCGCTTTCATTCATGTCACCATCTTCTCAAATGGCACGACTGCGTGTTTGCGGGGTGTTGGACCACTCATTGAGACTCTTTTCTTTTCCCCCTCCCTGCTTCGTTCATGAACCTTTCGGTGGTGCAACAGTGCCATCTAGCAGGAAGGAAGTTTCTCGGTCCTCTCCGTTTCATACTTTTCCATCTCTTTTATGGCAGGGGCTGAGGGAAACACAATTCAGTGGGCACAGTGATGGCTTTAAGCTCTCCTCATCAGGAGCCTGGGAATAGAGAGGAGGAGAGAGAGTGTTAGACATTGATGGGGGTGTGGATGAAAACAGATGGTTGAGGATGCTTTCACAAAGTGCCACCCGCTTTAGAAATGCAGGCTAGATTGCATTTCTTTTTTGCTCGGCTGCTGTAATCCAGCAGGAAAATTTGATACTGAGATGTTCCCCGAGGAGCTAGTGGGAGCCGTGATGCGAGAGAGGAGCAGAGATAGATGGGAAAGCGAGGGGAGGGAGAAATGCAAGAGTGGTTTTGGAGTACAATGAGAGGTGTTTCTCTACAGAGCCCTCTCAGAGGAGATGGAGAGAGAGGTAGAAGAGAAAGAGAGATCCAGAGGTTCACGGCTTTGATGAGTTTGGGGAGAAAATGGTCATTTGTAAATCCTCCGAGCTTTTTCGCTCTGCTCTCGACTGAATAACTGGAAAAATTGGCCCATTAAAGCAGCCAAATAATTTCATTCCTCTAATGCAGCTTGGGAGCGGTCTATGAAAAATAGTGCAGTTTAGCTGTCTATATGTATGAGGGTTTACTTCAAGGTTTTTATTATTAAGGGAAAACAAAATCCCAAACTACATGGCCCTGTGTGAAGAAGTGTTTGCCCCCCTGTTAAAGCTGTGGTTTATCACACCTGAGTTCAATTTCTCTAGCCACACCCAGGCCTGATTCCTGCCACACCTTTTCGCAATCAAGAAATCTCTTAAATAGGACCTGCCTGACAAAGTGAAGTAGACCAAAAGATCCTCAAAAGCTAGACATCATGCCGAGATCTAAAGAAATTCAGAAACAAATGAGAAAGAAAGTAATTGAGATCTATCAGTCTGGAAAAGGTTATAAAGCCATTTCTAAAGCTTTGGGACTCCAGCGAACCACAGTGAGAGCCATTATTCTCAAATGGCAAAAACATGGAACAGTGGAGAACCTTCCCAGGAGTGGCCGGCCGACCAAAATTACCCCAAGAGCACAGCGACGACTCATCCAAGAGGTCACAAAAGACCCCACAACAACATCCAAAGAACTGCAGGCCTCACTTGCCTCAGTTAAGGTCAGTGTTCATGACTCCACCATAAGAAAGAGACTGGGCAAAAATGGTCTGCATGGCAGACCATGCAGACCATTTGCTGCTGAGCAAAAAGAACATAAAGGCTTGTCTCAGTTTTGCCAGAAAACATCTTGATGATCCCCAAGACTTTTGGGAAAATATGACTTGCCGACTTCCCTTACGCCGCCTTGTTCCAACTTTTTGGAAGGTGTGTGTCCCATTACGTGTGGCATAAAAATAACACTGCATTTCAGAAAAAGAACATCATACCAACAGTAAAATATGGTGGTGGTAGTGTGATGGTCTGGGGCTGTTTTGCTGCTTCAGGACCTGGAAGACTTGCTGTGATAAATGGAACCATGAATTCTGCTGTTTACCAAAAAATCCTGAAGGAGAATGTCCGGCCATCTGTTCGTGACCTCAAGCTGAAGCGAACTTGGGTTCTGCAGCAGAACAATGATCCAAAACACACCAGCAAGTCCACCTCTGAACGGCTGAAGAAAAACAAAATGAAGACTTTGGAATGGCCTAGTCAAAGTCCTGACCTGAATCCTATTGAGATGCTGTGGAATGACCTTAAAAAGGCGGTTCATGCTCAAAAACCCTCCAATGTGGCTGAATTACAACAATTCTGCATAGATGAGTGGACCAAAATTCCTCCACAGCGCTGTAACAGACTCATTGCAAGTTATCGCAAACGCTTGATTGCAGTTGTTGCTGCTAAGGGTGGCCCAACCAGTTATTAGGTTTAGGGGGCAAACACTTTTTCACACAGGGCCATGTAGTTTTGGATTTTGTTTTCCCTTAATAATAAAAACCTAAAAATTTAAAAACTGCATGTTGTGTTCACTTGTGTTATCTTTTACTAATATTTAAATTTGTTTGATGATCTGAAACATTAAAGCGTGACAAACATGCAAAAAAATAAGAAATCAGGAAGGGGGCCAACACTTTTTCACACCACTGTGTGTGTGTGTGTGTGTGTGTGTGTGTGTATATATATATATATACTTTTATGTTTTTTTTCCTTTTATTTCTTAGATTTCTCTTTCGTGTATTTTTTCAGGGAGCCACAGGCAGACCTGGAGACAGAGGTACTAAAGGAGAACGGGTAAGATTTCATATTTTGTTTTGATGAATTGCATACACTGTAAAAGGGTCAGTGTGATAATCACTGTTGTGTAAACAGCATGAAAGAAACCAGTTTTTTCATTGTGACAAGAAAGCTATAAAAGGAGAAATAGCAAGAAGAAAGCATATCATTAAACGTGTCACTAATAAAAAAATAAAAAAATAATAAAATGTGTTGCTCTATTAATGACTACAAATCTCTAATCTCCATGTAGTAGTTTTGATTAGTTTTATATGGTGCGTTGAATGTAATACAGCCAGATGCTATTATCAATTGAAGTTGCGGGAGCTCACAATAGTCAGCTTGTGTTGTTTAGATTCTGTTATTTATATTCTGGTGTTGCCTTTGCAGGGAGATACAGGGATTCCAGGAGAGAGAGGAGTACAGGGAGAAAGAGGCAAACCTGGTGAAAGAGGGGGCTTTGGTCTTCAGGGGCAGCCTGGACAGAAAGGAGAACCAGGCACACCTGGATCTTTAACAACACCAGGGACTGTCAATCTGTTGGTATGTAAATAATCCTACAGATACAAGCCATAGAGAGAGAATGTAGTATCTGTTAAATCACTGTTCTAAAAGACTTTCCATTTTGACTTCACCACACATACAGAAAAATCTGAGGTTGGATTGGTTTTCTTCAGGCCTGCTAATACTGAGACCAACATATATACACTACCATTTAAAAGTTTAGAGTCAGTACATTTTTTTTATTTTTTTTTTATTTTTTTCTAAGTAAAAGTGTTAGTTTCTTTCAAAAAGGACAAATTAAATTATCAAAAGTGACCGAAATATTTTGTAACATATATTTGTACTAATTAAATTGTTCTTTTGAATTTTCTATTCATCAAAGAATCCTGAAACAAAAATGTATCACTATTTCCACAAAAATATTAAGTAGCACAATCATTTTCAATATAGAAAATATGTTACTTGAGCACCAAATAAGCATATTGATATTTGCAGCCTTGGTGAGAATAATAGACTTCATTCAAAAACTCGGAAATATCTTACTGGCAATTTAATATAGGCAGTATTAATACTGGTAATATTAATAATTTCATACATTCTAAAAAAATTGATATTGTGTGTATTAAATGTCATAGAACCTATTTTTAAGTATATTTATTTAAAGATTTGTTTAAATTTGTACATAATTTGTTGAAAGTTTCAATGGTTTGGTTTTTATCTGACTATTATTTCATAAATTCATGTGTCAGGCTTTACAAGGTTAAGGAGCATTCACACCAACAGAGATTTACACCAATAAAGCAACCGGCAATCATTGGTTTGCAATGCGAGTTGACGGTTGAAGCAACATCAGCAGTACATGAGCATACATTTTTTGTGTCAAGAAAACGGATTCAGTGTCAAACAGTACAGCCCGTTTGAGATCAGATTTTCAGGAGCACAGCCTATCAAATAAACCGTATAGGGCCTTCAGCAGCATGAACACCCACTACAATCAACTGTACAGCCACTCAATAACCTCCAGCAACAAAATCACTGTCAGCGTGAACCCTTTTTCAGATTACAGTGACTGCATACTCCTCTGGAGGTGGAGCACATCTTTGACCTCCGTAAAGATCCAGTTGCTGGCTTTCTCCCAATCTACACCAGCCTCCTGGCCCCCGTCCCGAATCCATATCCGCAGGTCGCCCCATGCTATTCAGAGGGCAACCGTCATTGATTGCTTGAAAGTTTCAATGGTTTGGTTTTTATCTGACTATTATTTCATAAATTCTTGTGTCAGGCTTTACAAGGTTAAGGAGCATTCACACCAACAGAGATTTACACCAATAAAGCAACCGGCAATCATTGGTTTGCAATGCGAGTTGACGGTTGAAGCAACTTGAAGCAACATCAGCAGTACATGAGCATACATTTTTTGTGTCAAGAAAACGGATTCAGTGTCAAACAGTACAGCCCGTTTGAGATCAGATTTTCAGGAGCACAGCCTATCAAATAAACCGTATAGGGCCTTCAGCAGCATGAACACCCACTACAATCAACTGTACAGCCACTCAATAACCTCCAGCAACAAAATCACTGTCAGCGTGAACCCTTTTTCAGATTACAGTGACTGCATACTCCTCTGGAGGTGGAGCACATCTTTGACCTCCGTAAAGATCCAGTTGCTGGCTTTCTCCCAATCTACACCAGCCTCCTGGCCCCCGTCCCGAATCCATATCCGCAGGTCGCCCCATGCTATTCAGAGGGCAACCGTCATTGATTGCTTTGTTGTGCATAACACACTCGTGAACACTCCAGAATAAATAATTAGGAGCTCTGCATAACAATAATTACCCACCCGTGTTCGCAAACCCATCAGCCTCTGAAAAGCACAGTCTGCAGCAATGAGCCGCCTGCTGCGAGGCCTATATCCAACGCCCTCGCTCCAAATCAAACAAACTCACAGCCATGTCACTCAGGAGGGGACCATTAGGAGTGTATTGTGTGTGTCGCGGGGGTGGAAGGATATAGTAACGGTAGGAGCTCTACGCAACTCCGCCTCTAAACCACACACACAGACAGAACTACAAACATTAAAGGGACAGTTCACTCAGTCAAAAATGAACATTCTGTCATCATTTACGAACCCTCAACCCTCACTTTCTTTTTTCTTTTGAACACAAAAAGTGATATTTTTGAAGAATGTTGGTAACCAAAGAGTTGATGATATCCATAGCCTTTGACTTCCATACTATAAAAGTCAACCATCAGCTGTTTGGGTGAACTAGCCCTTAATGCTCTTTGAAGGATGACAGTTTTTTCTGGAGTTGATAGAGTTTAAAAGGGATATTTCACCCAAAAATGAAATCATGTTGTTCCAGTATGACAGACTTTCTTCTGTTGGACACAGTAGCTGAATTTATGAATAATATCCTAGTTGCTCTTTTATATAATGAAAGTGAATGAGAACTAGGGCTGTCAAGCTACAAAAAGAACACAAAAGTGCAATAAAAATTGCATAAAAAATAATCATTACATGCTTCTATTTATGAGTTTAGGGTCAGTAAAAATGAATTAAACATTTTATTCACCAAGGATGCATTACATTGGTCAAAAGTGACAGTAAAGACATTTATAATGTTACAAAAGACATGTTTTTTTAAATAAATGCTGTTCTTTTTAACTTTATATTCATCAAGGAATCCTGGAAGTAGGAGCTCTACGCTACTCCGCCTCTAAACCACACACACAGACAGAACTACAAACATTAAAGGGACAGTTCACTCAGTCAAAAATGAACATTCTGTCATCATTTACGAACCCTCAAGTTGTTCTAGACTTTCTTTTTTCTTTTGAACACAAAAAGTGATATTTTTGAAGAATGTTGGTAACCAAAGAGTTGATGATATCCATAGCCTTTGACTTCCATACTATAAAAGTCAACCATCAGCTGTTTGGGTGAACTAGCCCTTAATGCTCTTTGAAGGATGACAGTTTTTTCTGGAGTTGATAGAGTTTAAAAGGGATATTTCACCCAAAAATGAAATCATGTTGTTCCAGTATGACAGACTTTCTTCTGTTGGACACAGTAGCTGAATTTATGAATAATATCCTAGTTGCTCTTTTATATAATGAAAGTGAATGAGAACTAGGGCTGTCAAGCTACAAAAAGAACACAAAAGTGCAATAAAAATTGCATAAAAAATAATCATTACATGCTTCTATTTATGAGTTTAGGGTCAGTAAAAATGAATTAAACATTTTATTCACCAAGGATGCATTACATTGGTCAAAAGTGACAGTAAAGACATTTATAATGTTACAAAAGACATGTTTTTTTAAATAAATGCTGTTCTTTTTAACTTTATATTCATCAAGGAATCCTGGAAATATAAAGCAGCATGATTGTTTTCAACACTGAAAATAAATATAAATGTTTCTTTAGCACTAAATCAGCCTATTAAGAATGATTTTTAAAGGATCATGTGACTCTGAAGACTGGAGTAATGATGCTGAAAATTCAGCTTTGTCATGACAAGAAAAAAAAACGTTCACATATATATACTGTATATATATTTTTACTGTATTTTTGAACAAATAAGTGCCGCCTTGGTGAGTATAAGAGTTTTTATCTTAGACTTTTAAAAGGTAGTGTACGACAACTTAGTGAGGAACAGACTAAATTTTGAGTCATGATCATTAATTATTTTGTGAACTGATTCATTGAAAAGATCTGACTCAAAAGTACCTTTTATTTCATGAATCAAACATCACCGCTTCCTCAAAGTTTTATGAACTTGCCAAGATTTTCTCAGTGAATAACAACTTTAATAGCTTACAAACAGAAAATGATGCTAGACTCACCAAGACCATCTCAAAGCAACTATTAGGACTTTTTGTTCCAAGTTTAAAAGCATGCAATCATTCGCTTTCACTTTTTCTGTACACTTTGCACTGTGTTGCTACCTAGCAACCTTGTAAAGTCGCCCTTCCGTGACACTGTCTGCAAAGCTTTTCATGTGGATGTCAAATTGGCGAATGACGCTTGTGTTATTAGGTATGATAAGGCCCTGACACGAGTCATGTTAAAGGGCTTTTAGACTGATCGCTGAATCTCCACACTCTGAATATGCATTAGCCCATTTCCTTTTAACCCTCCACAAGCGTTCAGGTGAGGGATGTGAGGATACTGCGCTTGCAGCCCGAGGCACAGAGCGTCGCAGGGGCCTCTGAGCATTTGACAGAATGGCCTTGAACTGTGAAAGGTATGTTTTGGATTGGAAGAAAGCGGTTTGTTTTCCTATGAGATGTTCTTCAAAATTCAGGCCTCCTCCTGTGCAGAGCAGTGATCATGAACACCAAGATGCTTTGAGGAGAGATGATTACGCCACTATGTGTCATCCATCCCTTTATCTCTGAGAACGCCAACATTTCTCAGCATGAATAAAACATGAATTGCTGCCATTTTGTAGCTGCACTTTTTAATCTGCAAATCATGTTGTGCTGATGTTTGTTTTCCCTCTCTGCCTTCTTTTTTCCCTTTCATTTCTTCTTGCAGGGTGATACAGCTGCCTTGGAGGAAATTAAAACATTCATCCGAAATGAAGTATTGCGTGTATTTGAAGGTACATCATCTGCCGCAGCTGAGGTGTTTTGTTGTGGTCTCTTTTTTTTTAGCTTTCAGTTTTTTTGTGTCTATGTATGTGTGACAGGAACTTTGTAAGACATTTAAAAGACAATCATCAACATTAAGTGTATTGCAAATAAGCTCTTTACCAGGGGACTCCAAAAATAAGAACAGTTTAATATTAAGTGTAGTGACTTCTAATGTGTTACCAGCTTGTGTTTTATTGTCCACTACCACAAAAAAATGACCTTAAACTTTTTACAATTTTTTATATAATTTTTTCATTAATTTAATTTAATGTACTGTAATTTAATGTGGATGGACGGACGGACTGATAGATAGATAGATAGATTTTATTTTATTTTAGGGACTAATTAAAATTGTTAACTGACAGCTCTGTTCTGACATTATATTTAATTTTTTTTATTATTCCATTATTTTTGTTTTGGTTTTTTTGCAAACTGAGGGACAAATTGAAATTTTGTTAATTAACAGTTATATATAAAATAGTAGTGTAATTCACATTCTTAATTCTGCTTTTTTTTCAGAGAGGTTTTCAGACAGTTACGCTTTGCTACAGAAGACACCAGCAGCCATATTAGCCGCGCAGGGTCGACAAGGCCCTCCAGGACTACCTGGTAATGATGGCTCCCCAGGACCCCCCGGAGAGCCAGGATCTCCAGGTCCCCAAGGTAGGAGCCAAAACCCAAAAGACTAAACATGTTACAGACCTCTTTACGCTGCTCCTACGATGGTCTCGTCTCACACAAAAACCCAGATGCAAAAGACTGTGATTATTTATATGACTCATCTGTTTCCCCAGTATTAAGTTGTAATGATGGCTCCCCAGGACCCCCCGGAGAGCCAGGATCTCCAGGTCCCCAAGGTAGGAGCCAAAACCCAAAAGACTAAACATGTTACAGACCTCTTTACGCTGCTCCTACGATGGTCTCGTCTCACACAAAAACCCAGATGCAAAAGACTGTGATTATTTATATGACTCATCTGTTTCCCCAGTATTAAGTTTTTTTGCTTGCTTCTCAAGGATTCCAGTTTTTCTATCTCTCTCTTGGTGGAAAATAGTGTTTATGTGTATGTGTTTTTAGTTAGCTATACTGCGTCATTTGCTTCTCAGATTGTTAATTGAATTACACTGAACTGAGTGAGTTGAGGTAATTTTGCTCTTTAGGCCAAGTCAAGCTTTGAACCTCAAGTTCAAAGTAACCTAGCTCAGAAAACTAGAAAATGAGCAAGATGGTCCTCACAAAAGTCATGCAAAAATGGCCGCTGATTGCGATATTGGGTGTAAGGCGTTCACAGGAATCTTGCTAGCTACGTCAGACAAGAAAGAAAGCAGATAGCTGCATGACAAAGTAGCATATGGTGCAGAGAGCCTGGCGGGACATATGAAGACGGATGAAGAACCGACCCAGAATAGGAGAATGTAATATCGCCCTGGACAGACTTGTGAGAGCAAGAAAGATAAAGAGAAGAAGTGAGCAGATGGAAAAATCCACACAATATCTCACTTTGTTGGATTAAGCCCAGCCCCCCCCCCCCCCAAGACAA